TATTCCTGCATCTTCTCACCTGTTTCTTCCTTGTATTTGCCTTCTTTCTTTCCCACTTGGTGAGCTTTGGCTTTGCAACCTAGGATCTTTTTGTGGTCTCTGTCCAGTTAGAGTCTAGTGATGACCCCTTGCTGGGGTGAACGCCCACGTGAACAGCGGGGCGTGGATGCCCATGTGAACAGTGTCCCACTGCACTCGTCCAGTGTACTGTCGATGATGTATTTCTTCCTGCAAACCTGGACACGTGGCTAGTCTGCTGCCCTTTATAGTGTCCTCAAACAACCTAAACCTCATCCTTCCAGATGGGCATGGATCAGACACTACACTTCTTTGGAAAGGGGGGAGATATGATCTTCCTACAAATGTGGGAAAGTGCACTTGAAATGTCTTTGAGGGTTTTTGCTCCGGTCAGAAGTCACAAAGGGACTGAACTTCATTTTGGCCACAGGCGCTTCAGCAATGGCCGCAAACCCTAAATCTGTAAGTCACGCTTTTGTACACGTTGCGTGTGGGCAGTTTTCTCGGCAGCACTTCTGATTGCCTGCTCCACTCATCAGTCCTACTTGTATTGTCTCTTTCAGAGGCTGAAACAGACAGGATGGGGATTCTTTACATTTTGGCCGAACACACACAGGAGCGTGAGGGCAGCAGCACAGATGCTCACAGCACTCGCCCTCCTGCGCTGTCCTAGCTGCCCCATAAACATTCACGTACTTACTTCTCATCCTATGAACAGTGTTATTATTCACACCTCACTACTGACCAGGCAGAGAGACTAGTAAATGGGTCAGAGGACCAGAATACGGACCCACAGGGGCTCCAGAATCCATGCTCTCAGCCCCTCTGCTAGGCGGCCTGCGCCAGCACACGGCGCTGCTCCACAATGGCGAGGTCACACCGGAGTTCAAAAACATGCTTTGTTACATACCCACATTTCCTGCAACGATCATGTATTAATTGTGTGATCAGAGAAATATTCCTTAAAGTAGAAAAAAGTATCAATTAGTGAGGATACAACATAATAGCAAGTATATGAACACTGTAAGCCAGGCTCTGTGACATGTGATTTGCAGATACTAATTTAATCGTCAAGATAATTAGAATCTTCATTTGAGAGATGAGAAAACGGAGGCACAGAAGAGTTAAACAGCCCGCCCAGGGTCACACAGCTGGCGGGTGGCAGCTGGACTGGCTGGCTCGGGTCTGGATTCTTAACTAGGTTATGCTGCCTGAATTAAAAATAAAACGTCAGTGTTCAACACCAGTGTGATTTTCTGCTAGAGTGCACTAATGCCAGGAAAATATATGTTTCACACCTTCTGCCCAAACCAGACAGAAAGACTATTTCAAAAACCTTTCGTTGCCACTACATCTCTGTATTGACTGCTGCTGATTGTTTCCGGCGCTCGCCTCCTCTCCTGCTCTCCTGCCTAGAGGGGACCTTTCTCCCCTCCAGGGGCCCACACCGCTCGCTCTCCAGCACTCATGATGCTCCCTGGATTTCAGAAGTCCCACACCAGAGGTGTCTAAAGAAAGGGGTTTCTGTTTTATTTAAGACCCTGTGGCTTCTGGCACAGTGGTGGGAAAGAAAAAAGGGGATGTTCTGTTTGTTTAATTAAACTGTATTCTTTACCATTCAGTGTAAATATATTTAAAGGGAAGATCTTAAGAGAAAGGGGAAAAAATCTGCTTTGCCACATCAAGTATTAAAAACTTGTGTTTTCATTCTCACAGACTTCTTAATTGGACAATTCTAGCCCAGATTAGAGGGCATTTAAATCAGCCCTTTCTAAACAGTGTCACAAATGCAGAATATTTTCTCCCTGTGCCACTGGATGAGCTGGGCATGCTGCCAAATCTTTTTCTAATTAGGTCCTGTGGTTAATTCCTTAATCTGTTAGCTTTTCCTTGCATCTCGTTAAGTGTATAGAGAGTTGGACATTTTCCATTGTTCTGGGAAAGTGGGATAGTCTTCCTACCCCCAAGTGGTACGCTCATCAAACAACTGCCATCTCTACCCATCAGATTAGCAAACACCACCACCACCTCTGAAAAGCAGAGCAACTGGGTCAGATCACCCCACATGCAGATACATAAGATTTTAGACTCAGCATTTCTTTTCCACTTAACTGTACAGATAAATGCTTCTAATAGCCACAGACTGGAAAACTGCTACCATCTGTCAATAGGGGACTTCAGCCAGACCCCCAGTTATGAAAGTTTCACTAAGGATAGTGCAAAAGCACATGCATTCAGCAGAAAACTTGCTTTCAATTTTATCTCTTCCCAGGCTGGTGGCAGAGACTCTTGTGATGCGGTGGCCGGCAGCAGGCAGCGGCAGAGCCCAGCCCCCAGTCAGTCACAGGATCAAGAGGGAAAACTATTGGTGCACGGCCTGCACCCCCAGCGTTTTGGGATACCTTAGGTTTGACTACAATGGCTCAACTTCTGATATCTTCAACTTACCATGGGTTTATCAGGATACAACCCCACGTAAGCCAAAGATATGTGTAAATTCTGGTATATCCAGAGAACAGAAAATGAAACTATGCCCCTGTGAAGACCAATGAAACAGCACTCTTTGTGCTGCTATGAAAAGATCTCCGAGATAAATTACTGAGTGCAAGGGGGCACAGAACAGTATATAGCATGTTGGCATTTATGGAAAGCAGGAGGAAATTAAAAACATAATTTATGTTTGTTAGCACATGCATGAAGTAACTCTGGAAGAATTATCAAACTAACAGTGGTTACCAGAATGGGGTTGTGATGAAAGCTGGAAAATGCACAGGGATGAGAATTCTAGAAGTCTCAAAACAGCCAGACAGCAGGCTCATGCACCAAATGATATAGATTGGAAAGAAAGAGGACTTTAACAAAGAAATTACTGGGTGAAAAGGGGAACTCCAAACAAAAAATAGCATAAGTGAGAGTTTAGAAAAGCTTGAGCATATCGTAAAGGCACATTATTCTGCCAACAAGAAAAAAGGAAGTAATGAGAAATTCTGGAGATAAAAACCAAAAAACCAAGAGTAAAACTGGCATCCTTGGTTTAGACCAAGCAGGAATCATGCCTGAGCCAGGGAAGGGGATATGACTGCACATTTGTTTTTACTTCTTTTTGTTGACTTATAAAAGATCTATTGGCTTTATGGTGTGAAAGAAGAGAATTCAATAGGCACCCCCTCATTTTCTTCCTCTTATCACCCCATATTTGCAAACTTTAATTTTGTTGTACCAACTAAATTTTAATGTTTTAATTAGATGACTGGTTCTTGGGAGCAGCGGGCGAGTCAGGACAGGTCTGTTGCACCATGTGGGTTGCTCCCTGGCTGGCTGGGGATCGAACTCGTGCTGCAGTGGCTGCGGATTGCTTCATAGGTTGCGTCTTAACCCTGGCACCACCAGGGAGGTCCCTTGGCAAGACTTTTCTTTCTGGAAGCTTTGAAAATCTTCAATCAGTGTCCTGGAATGTCACAGAATGTACTTTGTTGGGGTCTTTTTATTTTGGACACTGGGTGTGCCTCTATAAATCTAGACTTTAAATTTTGGGGAAATTTCTTGCTGTTTCTTGAACAACATGCTGTCTTTTCTTCTTCCAGAATGTCTGTTGGTCAGGTGTCAGACTTTCTAGATTATCTTTAATTTCCCCCCCCCCCCCTCTGCTGTCTATGACTGACTGTTTTACTTTCCAGGGGATTTCCTCAACTTTACCTTCCAGCTTCTTTACTGAGATCTCTACTTAGGGATAGTTTAAATCCTCAAGAGCACCCTGAAAAGCTCCTGATACAGTATCCTGCTCTTGCTGCCTAGATGTAACACCTTAATCTCTTTGAGAAGTTTGTTGTTCATAGTGAAGTCTTTCCTCAGAAGTCTGGAGTACATTTATGAGAAGGCACTAAAATACCCACTAGCAGTTTGTGTGAGTGGGCAGTTTGTTTACTGTTGAAGGGACAGGGAAAATGATCAGTATCACTTCTTTTTTATAGCGTGGTCAATTTCCCCAGAAGGTCCTATTATAAGCCCCTAGCTGGGAGATTATTGAGTGTTCTAGGAGCCAAGGTGGGGTCGCTGTCTCCTAGGTAAGTCTTTCAACATCTTGGTGAGGAGAGAGGTGGTCGTGGTAAGAGCCTATAACCAGGATTCGAGAAGCTGAAATAGGGGAGATGGTCAGAAAACTCCCAGTTGAGTGCACAGACTTTTTATCGCACTACTGAGGGTAAGAAGCCTGTCCTTCCCACCTTCAGTGTTAACACACAGCTCCTCGGGCCAGACTTTGACACGCATATTATCTGTGTTTCAACTTCTCCAGATATTGATCTCCCGTTTGTGGCAGGAGTGGGTGGAAGTAGTAACGTGAAAGGGTGTAATGGGGTGTGGTGCTGATTCTTCCACATCTCAGACTTTCAAGCAATGTTCCTATTTTCAGCCCCAATATTCACCCGACATTCACAGACACCCAAAACTTACCCCAACATCACCTACTTGTGGTTGAAAATTCTCTTTCTCCTCACTGGCTTCATCCACCGCAAGCAAAGCAAGGAAAGCAGAAACCTCACTTATACATATGCAGCTTTCCCAGTTTCGCAAGTAAAATTGTGGCTGGCCTACCATTATCTCCTATTTTCTTCATCCCATTGGTTTATGCCTCTTTTAAAAAATGGGTCTCCCTGGTGGCGCAGGCGGTTGAGTGCCGCACTGTGAGGCTGTCTGCAGCCTCTGCAGTGTGGGTTTAATCCCAGCCGGCCGGTGAGAATCCCACATGGCGAAGCAGACCTCTCCTGTCTCCCACTGCTTCAGCCCGCTACTCCCCTTAGCAGTGTATTTCAGTCAGTCTGCCTGTTCTGCTCCCCGCTCTGTCTCTGGTGAATCCTCTCACCCTCCTGCACATCTGGCCTATACCCTGGTTCTTGTATAAATAAATAAATCTTAAAAAAAAAAAAGAAATAAAGAAATAAAGAAAATTTGTTATCTTCTGTCCAGTTTCCATTTCTTTCAAAAAAATTAAGGAATGCTTCACAAATTAGTGTGTCACCCTTGCGCACGGCCATGCTAACCTCTGTATCATTCCAATTTTAGTGTATGTGCTGCTGAAGCAAACACTCGTTTCCATTTCTTTGCTGTAATTTCTCGTTCTGTTCACTTATTTGCCCTTTAATTCTCTCTAATTCTTTTTCTTAAAGATTTATTTTATTTATTTATGCATACAAGAGCTGGGGTGTAGGCCAGAGACATGGGGTCGGGGGAGAGATTCACCAGAGACAGAGTGGGGAGCAAAACAGTGGACTGACTGAAATACACAGCTGAGGGGACAGCGGAGAGACAGAAGTCTGCTGTGCTCTGTGGGTAGCTCCCTGGCGGGGGATTGAACTCATGCTGCAGTGGCTGCAGATAGCTTCATAGTGCTGAGACTTAACCCTCTGCGCCACCAGGGTGGCTCTTTCCTCTAATTCTTTAGTCAGGTGTGTAACTGTTTTGAAATCTAACATCAATACCCACTAAGACACTCGTACCTATTAAGACTCTCGTAGTCAGTGTCTGTTGATTACTTTTCCGAGTGTGAGTTATACTTTCCTGTTTCTCTATGTCTAGTAGTTGTAGGTTGAAATTAAGATATTGTAGCAATTCTGGATTCTGCTGTGTCCTTCTGAAGACTGTTTTTTGAATTCTAATAGGCAGTTAAGTTGCATAGATTCAAAATACAAATTTGACTCTCCTGTGGTATGCAGCAGACAGATCTGCTCAGTTCCTACAGCTTCAGCAACTGCGTTTTTAGCCTGGCTCACTGGAGTCTCCCCTGCATCTGTGTAATTTGGTAGACAGCCAAAGATCTGCGCAGCCTGTACACAGATTTGAGGGCTCACACTCTCTGATTTTTTTAAAAAAGATTTATTTATTTATTTATGCAAGCACTGGGTACAGTCAGAAGCGTGGGAGGGCGAGGGAATTCACCAGAGCCAGAGCAGAACAGGCAGAAGGACCGAAGCACACTGCTCAGGGGAGCAGTGGGCACGGCAGGAGAGGTCTGCCGTGCCATGTGGGACCCTCGCCAGCGGCCAGGGATCGAATTGGCGCTGCAGAGGCTGCAGGCTGCTTCGCAGCCCAGCGCTCAACTGCCACCAGGGGAGGCCCATCACACTCTCTGATTTTGCTTTGTAATTTCCCTCTAATTTTCCAGCTGCTCTGCCAGCCTCCAGTCTGTCCTCTGACACCATCAGCCAGTAAGGCTTCAGCTTCCTACCGCCTGAGCTGTGCGCTGTTTAGGAACGTTCAGATTGGGAGGTGTAGTGGGATGGAGCATCTAACCTACGATCTCTATGATCTTCTCTTGCCCCTGCCTGGTTTTTATTGTTTAGTTGGCTGTATTTTAGTTTTTTAATTTTGGGGTGCCTTGAGGGGACCCCTGCCCATTTGGAGTTTAATAGTTGTGATGGTTAGTTTTATGTCAACTTGACCAGGCTAGGAAATGCCCACAAAGCTGGTGAAACATTGCTGGGTGTGTCCAGGACAATGGCGTTTCTAGAAGAGAGTACCCACATTTGGAATGGCAACTCGATGTGGGTGGGTTACATCCAATCCATTGCAGGCACAAAACAATGGAGAAGGTGGAGGCACAGCAAATTGTTCTCTCTCTGCTTGAGCTTAAACATCCATTTTCTCCTGCCCTTGGACACTGGTACTCTTGGTTCTTGGGCTTTCAGACCTACAACATCAGTTTCCTCCCTCGGTCCTTTAGTCTGAATTACAAGACCAGCTTTCCAGACGCTCCAACCTGCAGACAGCAGATTGTGAGACTACCCGGACTCTGGAGTCACACAGCCAATTCCTACAATAAACCTCCTCATCTGTATCTACACATATGTCCTCTTTCATTTCTCTGGAGAACTCTGACCACCACAGCAGTCACCCAGGGATGGGGGCCAGAGTTTTTACTCAGATGTTGGGCCTTGAGCTTTCTGTAGTCATCTCTTGCTTCGAGGACTTCCCCGTTAAATTTCCAGCTCCTCTCCCATTCATGACCTCTCTCCTCGGTCACCTTTCACCTGAAAGGCTGATTTTCCAGTCATTTCATTCCACCATCACCACCTTCGGGACTGGAATATGCCTTTGGCAAAAAAGTCACAAATCTTACTGCTTTCAATTACAATTTTGTAGGAACCAACTCTTCTCCAGCTTCTATCTGCTTTTGGATAGTTTTTAAGTTTTTTTATTTTTACCAGGATGTCTGCCTGGTACCTGTGGGAGTGCTTGAGCAACTACTTTCCCTCCTTTACTGGAAAATTACTAGAGCTTACAGTTAAAATTACTTAAGTTTTTTAAAATAACGACTTGCCTTTAAAACACACAGCTACATACAAAACATTTCTAAGAAGTTTAAAAAGAACAAAGAATAACATCTCAGTGGTAAAGTCCTGATTATCTTTAGATATGTACTAGACTGAACAGGCCAAGCACTGCATATAATAAAATCAAAGGCAGAAAAGACTTGGGACTACTTTTTCTATTTCAATGAAAGAGTAAACATAAAATGATTAAACAAACAAACAAAAAAAAGCCCAGGCCCCAAATTAAGGAAGCTAGAAACTAGAACTCTGATCCTAGAAAAATGAATCTTTCTCCTACCTAGAAGGCACCGTAACTCTGGAGGAGACTGGAAAAATGAAGCTATTCATTGTTTCAGTTTGTTTGCTAGTTTCTGTGGTTATTTTGGGGAAAAAAAAGAATGTAGACTGAAGAACTGTACTGTAGATTATTGGATTCCAGTTGCTGTATGGAATAATTATTATTTTATATGTCTCTAACAAAGTATATATAAGTATTTACAGGGGATGTATAAGTATATAAGTAACTACAGATGACCTGCTTTGTACACTGCACTATATGATAGGAACAGAGAAGACAGATGGAATGACTATGCTGTCATAATGTACTAAATAGACATATTGAAAAAAAAAAAAAAACTGAAGAGGAGGTGGAAGGGAGGTAGAAAGTTAAGTGCTGCTTATAGAGCAAGTACCTGACTTAGTAATCCTACCATTCCAAATCACAGTATGTTATGAATTGCTTTTTATTTTTTTTTCAAAGATTTATTTATTTATACAAGAACTGGGGTACAGGCCAGATGCACAGGAGGGTGAGAGGATTCACCAGAGACAGAGCAGGGAACAGAACAGGCAGACTGATGATGAAACACACTGCTGAGGGGAGCAGTGGGCGAGACAGGAGAGGTCTGCCCCGCCATATGGGACCCTCGCTGGCTGGGATTGAACGGATGCTGCAGAGGCTGCGAACAGCTTCACAGCACTGCGAACAGCTTCACAGCGCTGCGAACAGCTTCACAGCGCTGCGCTCAACCGCCTGTGCCACCAAGGGAGGCCCTGAATTGCTTTTAAAAAGTGTGTGTGTATGTATGTTTACAAAGTATTACTGGTACACTGTAGAAAAAAAAATATTTTGGAAATATCACTATATAAATGAAACATCCTTATAAACCTCAAGAATATGATTATTAAAAGTCTGGGGAAAAGTGTGCGTATGTGTTCACCAACTTTGGAGTATACACTTCTGTGTTTCTCTTTTTAACCAAATGGATCATATTACACATATTTTATGACTTAAATTAAGTGGAGATCTTTCCATGTTAGAATATTAGACTGATTTCATTCTTTTCAGTGATCATTTAACTGAAACATACCATAATTTAATCAGTCCTTTTCTGATGTATATTTGACTCGTAGTTTTTTAGTTATTATGAGTAACTATTGTAGTGTTTCCGTCATATAAATTCTTAGAACTGAAGGGCTTAGTCAAAAGGGCTAAAAATTTAAATCTTTAGTGGCTGCTGCCAAAGTCACCTTGAAAAGAATAACCAATCACACTCAACAAACTACCAGGGAACTTCGGCTATTTCTTCCCTAAGAGGAAGGTAAATAGTGTGTATGAGGTGTCAGCAATGGGTGGCGTCAACCCCAGGACATGGGTACGGTGAAGCACTGGGGGCACTGGAGCAAACCTCATTCACCTCACTGCTACCCCCGAAACTTTCACCTGGCTGCCATGTTGGGTTTCTTTAGCAGCTTCGATAGGAGCTAATAGGGCTGGAGCAATTCTGTTGGTTTCAACACTATTTTTAATACTCTTTTACATTTACTCACATATTTGACGATTTTGTTGCTCTTATTTTCTCCTTGTGGATTTGAATTATTGTCCACAAGTAAAACTTCCCTTTTAGTCAAAAGGATTCCTGTTAGCATTTTCTGTAAATTAGTTCTGTCAGCAACAAATTCTCTCATTACTTGTTTGTCTAGGAATGTCTTTATTTTACCTTCATTTTGAAGGACAGTTTTTGCTAGATAAAAATATTTTTATTTTTTTCCTGTCAGCACTTTGAATATGTCATCCTATTGCCTTCTAGACTCCATTGCCGCTTTCAAGATTTTCTTTTTGGCCTTGACACTTGCACCACCAAGGCCTCACAGCCATTGTCAACCCCACGTATTCTTTAACATGATGGGTCATCTCACCCTTGGGTTGTCTGCAGACAAAATTCCAAAGACAGCAAAAAAGTTTTGTATTCTGAGCACTGCGGAGAAAGAATCTGGTTATGAAGGTACTTGCGTTTCAGGGAATTATCCCAGGATTTATGTGTTAGGGTGGTCACTAAATACACCATGATGCACTGGCATCTTCTTGCCTATAGCAAATGCTGGACCCAACACAGTGGTTCCCAGTTTTTCACCTGCACTGACAAGATGGAGTGGTTGGCTGGCAAGAATGTGGTCTTTGGCAAGGGCAAAGAGGGCATGAGAGTTGTAAGCAGGGAGATCTTTGGGCCCAGGAATGGCAGGAAGATCACCACTGCTGTCTGAGGACATATCTAATCAGTGTAGCTTGTGTTTTACCTTAACCAGCAGAACATTCCTTATGTTTGTAGCTCAGAAAAGTACCCCTCATCCCCCTCTGCTCAAAACCCCCTATCACCTTCGTGCTCTTACTACAGTCCCATATTTTCCGTATCTGCCTCGAGTCTGCATTACAGAGTTAAGACTGTGATTATAAAAAATGAAAAATAGGGGCCTCCCCGGTGGCGCAGCGGTTGAGCG